ATATATGGTTTTTTAAAAAGGTTCCTAGATATCCAAGAAACAAGAGCCCACAATGAAGATCCAAACAAAGTAGAACTGTAACAGTTCCAGCAGGACTTCCTTGTATTTCTGTGCCAGGTACTGATTACATTTCCAATGAGGGCAGGCTATTTGCCAGAATCACGGTTATTCTGGAACACACATACCTGCCTGAAATTCTAAACCAACAGCAGACAGCTACCTTATAGAACCGTAACACTTAAGGCCAATTTTGCTGTTACAATGAAAAGAGCTCAATTATGGGCCTTATATCTCCCATGAAGAATACAGATCAAGAGCAAGAGAGGAGGCCTATAGAAAAGATTATTATCCTCTAAAAAGCCTTTAAGATTTGAAAGAGAAATTAAGTACTAAGACACACTATACTAGATAACAGTAAGTCTATTTTCAGCTTTAACTCTGCCATAAAAATAGCCTAAAAACTTAATGAAATTTAAAAATGAAATGCAATTACCAGCCATGTCAACAATATGTTACGCAAGTTTATCTAAATAGGTTGACTAGCATGATTCTGTAAGGAGAAATCTAGATGGATCAATCATAAAGCAGATGTGGATGTAGTAAGTGCAATTCATTAGAAAAGAACAGCATTCAACTGTCACAAGATATGTCCTTCAATCATTAACTCCTCTGCCTTCCAACTAAAAAAGCCCCAAACTACCTGAAAATCCTGGGAAACTTACTAGGATTTAGTAGGCAGAAAAACATTTATGCAAGTTTCATAGAAACTAGTCATATGAAACATTTCATGTAAGCTAGAAATGGTTTTGTATGAAATTTAAATATAAGATAAAGAATTGTTTGTTCTAAAATTATTAATCCTTAAAATCACATAATTATTCTTTTTTAACAGGATGGTATTTGCAAAGATTAGTTATTCATAAGATTAGACTGACAAAACAAATTAAACTCTTTGCTTCAAATTTCTTTTTTTTTTTTGGCATATCTTTAAAAAAATCTTTATTGTTCAGAGTATTACAGATATCTCCCGTTACCCCCCTCCACCCAGTTCCTACCCCGCTCCAAGTCTTTACCACCTTAATATCTGTGTCCATAGATAATATTTGCATATAAGTTCTTTGGTTGATCTCTTCCCAACACCCCTACCCCCTTCCCACTGAGAGTCATCACCTGTTCCATGTTTTCATGCCTCTGGTTCTATTCGATTCTATTTTTTCTAGTTTATTTTGTTTATTAGATTCCTTGTTTATTTGATTTTTAGATTCAAGTGTCGATAGATATGTATTTATTGCCATTTTATTGTACGTATTTTTTATCTTCTTCCCATTTTTCCTTCCTTCTTCTTCCTTTTTCTCCCCTCTCCTCCTCCTCCTCTTCTTCCTCCTTCTCCTTTCTCCTCTTCCTCTGCTTAAAGAATACCATTCAGCATTTCCACTAATACTGATTTGGTGGTGATAAACTCCTTTAGCTTTTTCTTGTCTGTGAAGCTCTTTACCTGACCTTCAATTCTAAATGATAGCTTTGCTGGATAAAGTAATCTTGGTTATAGGTCCTTGTTAATCATCACTTTGAATACGTCTTGCCACTCTCTTCTGGCCTGCAAAGTTTCTGTTGAGAAATCCGCAGACAGTCCTATGGGTGCTCCCTTGTAGTGAACTGCTTTACTCTTGACGCTTTTAAGATTCTCTCTTTGTCTTTTGCCCTTGGCATTTTAATGATGATGTGTCTTGGTGTGGGCCCTTTTGGGTTCCTCTTGTTTGATCTCTGCACTTCCTGGACTTGTAAGTCTATTTCTTTCAACAGGTGGAAGAAGTTTTCTGTCATTATTTCCTCAAATAGGTTTTCAATATCTTGCTCTCCCTCCTTCCCTTGCTTTCCCTTCCTCTCGAGAATTACAACTAACATACGGAATAACCATTATTCAGAACTGCCTGAAATCTGTCTAAATGGAAGTCCTACAACTAGACAATTAAAGAATGCACATTGAGACTGGTAAGAGGGTGCAGAGGCATGGAACAGGCTGGTTTGGCACCCACATGTGCCATCTTTTTAATTGGGAGGGATATCTTAGCTGCAGAGGCCTCCCGTGAGGAGCAGGGGATCCCATACCAGACGCCCAGCTCAGGGTTCCAGAGTTGAGAAGAGGAGCCCCCATAACTTCAAGCTATGAAAACCAGCAGTTATTGTGGCTGAGGGACACAGAGGCTGCTGTAGACCCAGGCAGTTCCTCTTAAAGGGCCGGCAAATGAACTTACATGGACCCATTCACTCTGAGCTCCAGCTTTGGGTCAGCAGCTTGGGGGATCCAGGAATATAGGGAGACACATGGGGGAGGAACTGCATTATCTGGCATCAGAGTAAGAACTCAGAGACAGCTTTCTCCCAGACATGTGTGCTTCTCCTTCTGGCATCCCCACAATGCTAATGTTGGTACATTTAAAGTTTTTGCAGAGGCTCCTTACACTATCTTCATATTTTTTTATTCGTTTTTTTTCTGCTCTGCTGATCAGCTGTTTTTTGCTTCCTCATATTCAAAATCGTTGATTTGGTTCTCAGAATCCTCTCCTCTACTACTGAGAAACATCGATCAGCTGCCTCCTGCACATCTCCTACTGGGGATGTGCCCGCAACCAAGGTACATGCCCCTGACCGGAATCGAACCTGGGACCTTTCAGTCCGCAGGCCGACGCTCTATCCACTGAGCCAAACCGGTTTCGGCCTGACTGGTCCTTTTTTCATGTCTTTAAAATTCTCATTGAGATCCTTGAAAGTCTCACTAACTCCCTTGAAACTCTCATTAAGATGCTTGAGCATCCTTAAAACCATTGTTTTGAACTCTATATCTAATAGTTTGTTTGCTTCCATTTCACTTAGTGTTTTTCTGTTCTTTCATTTGTGATATGTTTCTTGTCTCCACATTTTGGCTGCTTCCTTGTGCTTGTTTCTATGTATTAGGTAGAGCTGCTATGTCTCCTGGAACTGGTAGAGTGGTCTTATGTTGTAGGTGTACTGTAGGGCACAGTGGCTCAGTCTCCCCAGTCACCCGAGTTGGGCACTCCAGGTGCGCCCCTGTGTGGCTGTGTGCACAATCTTGTTGTAGTTGAGCCTTGATTGCTATTGGCATCACTGGAAGGAGCTGGCCTCCAGACCAAATGGCTGTGAGGACCAGCTTGGACTATAGTGGAAGAGTTGCTTTATAGAAGAGACCCCTGTGGAGCAGGACTTGCTTCAGTGGGGCTCTGGTGCTCACTGAGTCTGCCCCTGGAGTATATGGCTCATGGATATGTAGAGTTCTAATATGGTATGGTCTGAAGCTGCCCACCAGGTGCCTGGCTCTAGGGCCACACGTCAGGAGCTACAGAGGGATCTGCAGGTGGAGTTACTTGTGTTGGGCTTAGAAGTGCCCAGGCATGGCCAACCTGTGAAGCAAGGCAGGCTGTTGCTAGTGCCAGGTCTTGCTGATGCCAGCTGCTTGCTGTTTGAGAGATTTTAGGAAAGTCGGATGTCTGAGCCAGGACAGGCCATACAAATGGGAAAGCTGCTGCAAACAGCTTGGGTGAAGCTGCAAATTGAATGGGGCTGGGTCTCAGGGAATCACCAGGGTGGAACAAACAGTGTGAGTCATGCTGATGGAAATTCATAAATGGCTGTCAGCTCTGCAACGGGGGAGGTCTCAGCATAAGAACAATGACACCATGAAAGCACCCATATCTGGGAGAAAGCTGTCCCTGGAGTTCTTACTCTGATGCCAGATAATGCAGTTCCTCCCCCATGTGTCTCCCTATATTCCTGGATCCCCCAAGCTGCTGACCCAAAGCTGGAGCTCAGAGTGAATGGGTCCATGTAAGTTCATTTGCCGGCCCTTTAAGAGGAACTGCCTGGGTCTACAGCAGCCTCTGTGTCCCTCAGCCACAATAACTGCTGGTTTTCATAGCCTGAAGTTATGGGGGCTCCTCTTCTCAACTCTGGAACCCTGAGCTGGGCGTCTGGTATGGGATCCCCTGCTCCTCACGGGAGGCCTCTGCAGCTAAGATATCCCTCCCAATTTAAAAAAATGCCACACATGGGTGTCTGACCAGCACATTTCAGAACCTCTGCCCCTCCTACCAGTCTCAATGTGCTTTCTTCTTCACTTCTCTAGTTGTAGCACTTCCATTCAGCCAGATTTCAGGTGGTTTTGAATGATGGTTGTTCTGTATTTTAGTTGTAATTTTGATGTGGTTGTGGGAGGCAGTATCTGCATTTACCTATGCCACCACCTTGGTTCTCCTCTCTTTGCTTCAAATTTGACCACATGATGTGTTTTTCATGTTTGGCAGCTTTTGAAGACAATGATTAGATGATCAAATTTATTTCTGTACTAAGTATATTAATAAATACCTTACATTTTAAAAACGAATCCGTCATAAAAATGATAAAATTTTCAAATGAATTTATCTTTTTAAAAAATATGTTGTCATTGATTTTAGAGAGAGAGCGTAAGGGAAAGTGAGGGAAGGGGGAAGAGAAAAACACTGATGTAAGAGAAACATTGATTGATTGCCTCCTGAACATATCCCAACTAGGGATCAAACCCACAACCTGGGTATGTGCCCTGATTAGGAACTGAACTAGTAAACTTGTAGTGCCTGGGACAATGCTCAACCAAGTGAGTAACACTGGCCAGGGGAAATGATTTTATCTTTTAAATAGTACTGTGAAAGGTATAAAGTTTACAAAAATTACTAGTTTTGCAATGACTTTTTTCTTCCAGCAATTTTTTATTAACTATTTTTGATTCATCATGGCTAAACTATAGTAAGTATCATTTAATGTTATATAGTAGACAGTAATTCATGCTGTAACACTATACATAGTTGAAGGAAAATGACTTTATGGGGTCATATGTAAGAGAAAAAGAACAGTATTTTTGTAAATGCTCATGATTATTTCCTGTAAAAAAATATATGTGAGGGTGAGAGCACCAAAATACACTTAGTACAAATATAGATTCTACTCACCAGTTTGATAGCTACATATTCATTGGTGTAGAGGTTTTTACCTAGGAAAAAAACAAAATGTATGTTTTAGTGACACTTATTCCGGAAATACAAAGCAAAATCATAGCTTACAGGGTCATGAGAAAGGTCACATTCCCAAAGCTGTTCACATATATAAAACATGATTTATAACTGAAATGCTAAATAAAGATGGTAAGACCCAGCAAGACAAGAACAAAAAACAGCTTGAGAATTTGAAAATTTAGACATAAGAATATTTTTAAAATCTATTTATCTCTCTCACATATGCACATTTTATTTTTTAATATTCCCTAACTATTAAACCATGAGATTAAGCAAGAAAAAAAAATCCAGAATTTCAAAGATACAGAGATTTTAACTCTTGGCACAATAAACACACACCCTCATTTTTCCAACTCACTGACAAATGGGGATTTTGTATTTTTTATCATGGTATTTAGTGTCAATATTAGTTAGTATAAAGAACAGTGTGAAATAAAACCAACTATTGTCCTACTCACCTTTTGGAAAACTGATCTACTGTATATAAGGAAATGACTCTCAAAGCTGTTTTGACCCTTCACTAGAAACTCTAGATCTGTATCTTTCACTATGTGCAGGAAACAGCTCTCTAAAAACATTTAAACATCTCAAAGTTCTGTCTGAAATAATAACAATTTTTCCTCTCAAGCTCTCTACTTGTATAAATAAAATCAATATTCTCCTAAACATTTAGAATAGGAATTTGGCAGTGAGGATGAGGATAAGAGCAATAACTATCACTGAGTGAGTCCAGATTACATGCTGGGTACTTAGCTATCTTCACCTCCCCAACCCCATTGATTCTTGAAGGCTTTAATTCCTCCCTAGTGTTTTGTATACAATACATAGTCACTGCATTGGACTTCATGTTGTTTCTTACATATTTGTACTACCTTAGTCAGCTAGACTACAAATACCTTGAGGAGTAGAGATTTTACCTAAGAGTTCTATCAATGACCTATGGTGCTTAAGACCATGCTCTACACATCCCAGACACCCCAAACCTTAACTGATTAAAAGTTACTTGTATAGACATCAAAATTATAACTAACCTACAGAACAACCATCACTCAGAACCACTTGAAATCTAGCTGAGTGGAAGCCCTACAACTAAGTATATAAAGAAGCCACATCCAGACTGGTAGGAAGGGCGAAGACTTGGAATGGGTTGGTAAACCACACAGACATGTGGCAGATAAAAATCAGGATAAATATCTCAACTGTGGAAGTCACCAATGAGGAGGGAGGGGTCCCAGCCCAGGGTTCCAATGCCAGGAAGAAAAGTCCCTATAACTTCTGGCTGTAAAAACCAGCAGAGATTAGCCTTGGCTGGGTAGCTGAGTTGGTTAAAGTCCCCATATTCCCAGGTTGTGGGTTTGATATCCAGTCAGGGCACATACAGGAAACAATCAATGAATACACAACTAAATGGAACAACAAATCGATGTTTCTTTCTCAAATCAATAAACACACATACAAAACAAACAAAAACACAGCGGAGATTGTGGCTGAGTGAGAAAAGGGCTGCTAGAGACCCAGCAGTTCCTTCTAGATACCTCTCCCAAGAGCAAAAAAATTAGAAGGATTTTAAGTTGAAGAAGGTAGAAAGGCATCTCAGGAGAAGAAACTACATGAGCAATCTAACAAAAAATGAGAAAGTAGATGGTATAGGCTAAAAATGGTTTGGTCACAATAAAACAACTCAACTATATTATAGAAATTATGCACATATTTCTTTTGAAGAAAAAGTGTTCAAAGAAATCCCAAGCACTTTGGATTTGTTTCTTCCAGAGTCGGGGGGGCGGGGGGGGGGTTCTCACTAATCAGTGGGTAACTTTTTCTCATTTTCCCCAGGTTCAGCCAAGGCCAGTTTTCAGTGTAGTTCACCTTCAACAGTGAAACCTTCCATCTCCCGTGAGGATGGGAAAGGGAAGCTGCAGTGGGAGGTGATGCCAGGAAGGAAGAGGTTTAGTTATCCAACAGCTTCACATATAGACCTGCAACTAGGCTTCCTATTTTTGGCTCCTTTTGCATCCTAACTTTCTGAAGTTCCTAGTGTCTCCAATTCTTGAGCCTATCTGGTGTATTTTATGTTACAAACTGGCCTACCCTTTCAATCATTCAGCTTTCTCTGGACTGTTAAATCAGCTACCATTTAGCATCTGCTTTCCAGCTTCCAAAATTTTAACATTTCTCATCTGTTTTTATCTACTCTCCCATTTTTGGGGGGTTTCTTTAAAATATCCCTTTTCTAAATATACTTTATAAAGAACTGAGGCAGCGCCCAGTTCCATAAACTTCCACATATATACAATTAGCTATGCATATATCTTTTTACCTCCATTAGACACAAATTTCCAAAGGACAAGAAGAATGTTCAACTAATCTTTTTATCCCTAGCAGTAAGATAGTATCTGATACATAATAGGTAACAGATGTTTGCCGAAGCGAACCAATCTGACTAGATATACAAAGAAGGTTCTTCTGAGAAAGTTCTAGGACAATAAAAAAAGAAGGCTGGTTATCAAATATGGATAAGTCTAAATGTAAATATAGGACTTTTGATTTTATTATTCAACATGCTTTGAAACCACCAAAGATCTCATTAGCTAAGAGGAAAAGCATAATGGTGAAAGTTGTATTTTTAAAGTACTCATTTGGCCCCAGTGTATAAGAGAGGACACCTACAAGTAAAATAAATAGGAAGTTTTTATAGCAGAACATTTAAATGGTATCTACCATATACAATGTGATTATGAAAATTACATGAGTTAGAATATATGAAAGTACTTTGTAAACTACAAGGTGATAGATTAGTCTAATTTTTATTACTTCTATTATTGTAGGTATGAGGCAAAACTTTCTGAAAGAGAATGACTTAAAAACAGAATTTATAATCAAGGCATTTTGTTGTTCCACTTATTTATGCATGCACTGGTTGCTTCTTGTATGTGCCCTAACTGGGGATCGAACCTGCAACCTTGGTATATTGGGACAATGCTCTAACCAACTGAGCTACCTGGCCAGAAGGCATTTTGAAGAAAAATCTAACTACATGTAATCATGAGGGATAAGGAAAAGAGAAGGGTCAAAAATTATGTTCAATTAGTAGAGAACAGAAAGAGAACCAAGGGAGTAGGCAATGGTCATTCCACTCCACCAGGATGCCTTCCTCCAAGTTCTCATGAAATCTAAAAATAATAGACTAATTTTGAAATGCCCCACATCTTCAATTTTCATATCTGTATAAAAGAATATACTCAGAGAAATATAATAAATGAAACAGCCTCTGTAACACCAAACATGATGGCTGATATATCACAGATTGCTAGCTTGCTTACGTTTGCTTTTTTTCTCTGAGGTCATCGAAGAACTGAACACATGTCACCCTCTGACAAAGCAATTATCCTTACGCCTAAGAGGCGCTGGAGGTGACTGGATAATTCTCTTGAGCTATGCATTACTCTAATAAATTCCTTTGTCAGGGAACATCATTTAGACCTAACAGGACAACACAAAATGCTGCCACATGTGGAAAGCTAGACAATCACTCAACCACTATCCTGAGAGAGTACTCAAACATTTGCTCTGGAAGAACTTAATTACATACAGTTAAAATTCTGCCCATTTAAAATGAATGACTGCTTCAGCTAAATACTGATTTATCTGATATATATGTGACAGAGGCAGGCAGTTTAACAGGTAAAAAGTATTATTGATGAGATGGCACAATCCCAAAACTTTTAGCATCTGTTGCACAAAATCCACAATGCTTCCCAAAGCTCCCTTCTTGGCTATGGGTTCTTTTAGTGTTGTTAACAAAAAAAACAAAAAAACAAAAAACAAAACAAAACCCAGAAAAAAAACACCCTGCATTACATAGTAGTTTTTGGAACTTAGAAAACTGAGTTTACACCTAAACTCAGCCCTTTTGAAACAGCAGTCCTGGATGTGATACTGCCCATAAAACCACTACATGAAGACTTCCTGTTTCAGTAAGTCACCTACAGAGACATTTACCGTAAGCTTCATCAGACACAGCACTATTTCAAAGAAGCAGCGTCTCAGTTCTCAGTCACACCAATAAAGGGTTCTCACTTTTAGTTAGATCTCTAGCTAACTAAAGTGAAAGTAGTACATTTATAAGTTACTACCTAGAACTTATAAAAAATAAAATCCAACCAAAGAACAGAGGAAATTAGTAGTTAAATCAAGAAGCCTTTTTTTTTTTTTAAATCCTCACCTGAGAATATTTTCCCATTGATTTTTAGAGAGAGTGGGAGGGGGAAAGACAAGAGAGAAACATCGGTGTGAGAGAGGCACACCGAATGGTTGCCTCCCGCACACACCCCGACCATGGCCGGGGATCGAGCCTGCAACCAAGGCACATACCCTTGACCGGAATCGAATCTGGGACCTTTCAATAATTGGGAAGCAGCTGCTCCTGAGGAACAGGTGAAAAGCTGTATAAGGATCACTGACACATACTCTTAAAATCAAACTTTAATCCTCTTGTACAAATGATGAGCTTTTAAATAATTTTTAACACTTACTTTTCTTTTTTATTGAGGTATAACTAACATGAAGTAAAGTACACAAAGCACACAGCTCAGTGTATTTTTACATATCCATACACATAACCATGTAACTATCTTGGGAGAGAACATTTTCAGCACGCTAGTAAGTTTTCTTGTGTCTCTTCACAATCAATAACCCTTATCTATCGCCACCCAAAATAATCTATTTTGATTGTAATCATTAAGAAATTAGTTTGGCCTATTTTAAATATCTATGAATGTAATTATATAATAAACCTCTCTTTTGTGTCTGCCTTCTTTTGCTTAACATTACTTCTGTGTTTCATCTGTTTTGTTGCATGTATTAGAACAATGGAGCCGCGGTTCTTGAACTTAATTCATTCCAAAGGCTGTTTGAGAAGTGATTTGTTTGAAAACCAAATCATTTTTTCCTATTAGGAATAATGTAAAGTGAATTAATTTGTTCCAGACACCCAAATTATTTCCTGTTTTATCCTTTCTTAGATACAGTACATGTCTAATGTACTGTTTTTCTAATAAACTTTAAAAACAAAAAGAACATAAAATGTAAATGAAAATTTAACAAAAAGGAAATGAAATGTACATTAAAAAATAAAAATTTAATAATAATAAGCAGTAACAAAAGCAAAAAATACATGAAAATATTCAGAGCACAATATCCTGAAATGTTAATAGTAGTAAACTGACTCATATTTTCTCACATTTTCTCCTTTGTCGCCTGAGAGATGTGTGACAGGTATCAGCATGAAAGGGTTGTCAGAAGCGAATTGTTTGAGATAAGAGACGTTGGAGAAACAAGGTTTGACTGTTCATGGATTTATATGCTTTATAAACTGCCTCTCAGCAGTAATTTTGTGGATATTTATGTCATAATTCATTTAATTCAAATACTACTGTGATGCTGGAGCAAAGTCAATCTATTATGTAAATGAATGTTCATTAAACTAGTTGCTAAAGCTATTCAGTAGTTGCTAGGAACTCAGTATGAAATTGTACACATTACTCCTATTCTCAGGAGCATCTGCTGGCTTTGCTAACCTGAACATGAATACCACTAAATGTGAAGAGCCTTTCATTATCCTACCTTCTACCAATAAAAATAAATTCATTCTCAGCTCCAGTGACCAATTTTGCAGCCAGTGATCTCTGGCTAGTGCAATGATGTTTCCCTGAATCTCTTGATGGAGAATCAAAGGTAAGACTTTTTCCATCTTCTTTTGCAGAATCATTAGAATCAGCAGAGGTAATAAGCAATACCCTATACTCCCATTCCCCCAAGAGCCAAAGTCCCCTATAAGGAATCTTCATAATAATCATAGCCTCAATGTTTATGAAGAAAAGGAAAACACTTTAGCCTAAAACGGGACCTCTTCATTCTTGAAGCTGATGTCCACCTTCATACATTTATAAGATCTTTCATTTTCTCTTCTTCATTCACCTAGGAGGTGAATTATAAACAAACATCCAATATACCCTCTTCCCAATTTCACAACTTCAAACTGGTTGATTTTGTCATTATTCATCATCTCACTGATAAATTTATACTTTAAATTAAAAAATCCATTTCCACATACCCTGGCCAGTGTTGCTCAGTGGTTAAAGTGTCGTCCCGTGCACTGAAGGGTGACTGGTTCGATTTCAGGTTAGGGCACATACCTGATTACAGGTTCGATCCCCAACTGGGACACATGCATGAGGCAACCTATCGATGTTTCTATCTCACATTGATGTCTCTCCCTCCCTTCCTTCCTCACTCCCTTAAAATCAATGAAAAACATCTTCATGTGAGGTTGTTTTTTGGTTTTTTTTTTAAATCAATTTCCTTGGTTGGGAAAAAACATTTGCATAATTTCTCCCTGAAATTTTAGCCCAATCCTGATGCTAGGACTTCCAGGAAGAAATGCAAACATAGTGTCAGTTGGAAGCCTCTCTAAACAGGATGAATATATCCTTGCAGATTAAATTTGGAAATTATTGCCTTATCAGGGGCAAGGTTTGAATTAAAACAAGACCTTACTCCCTTCTCAAGGTGTGGGGTTCCAGGGCCAGCAGCATCTAGAGTACGTGGAAGTCTGTTAGAAAGATAGCATTTAGGGCTCTAACTTTTAGGCCAACTAAATCAGAATCTTCATTTTATTGTTATCTGTATGCAGATCTCCCTACACCAAAATATTGGTGGAAAATTTAAAAGCCTATACACATAGCCAAAACCGGTTTGGCTCAGTGGATAGAGCGTCGGCTTGCGGACTGAAAGGTCCCAGGTTCGATTCCGGTCAAGGGCATGTACCTGGGTTGCGGG